CAAAGGGGTTTGAGGAACCCGGAACGGAGGGGATGGTTTGGAAGTTGCTGAAGGGGCTGTACGGTATGAAGCAGGGGGGACGCGTATGGAACAAGACCATGCACGACGCGATGGTTTCCTGGGGGTATACGAGGCTCTCGTGCGAGCACTGCGTCTACTTCCGAGAAGTGGACGGCGACATCACTATCTGCGCAGTCCACGTTGACGACTTCTGCATAGCAGGTTCTACTCAGTCAACGATCGACCGGCTCAAAACTTCGATGAAGACGCTTTGGCAGATATCAGAACTCGGAGCGTCCAAGTTCTGTGTCGGAATCGCAATTGAACGCGATCGCAAGGCTCGGACGGTTTCGCTTTCTCAAACCGCCCTTATCGACAAAGTCCTCGCCCACTTTCGGATGACGAACGCAAACCCCGTCTCGACGCCGATGGAAACCAACCTGCAGCTACGTCGTATGCCTCACTCCGAACTCGACGCGTCCACACGAGCGGAACTCGCTAAACTGCCTTATCGTTCGCTGGTTGGCTCCCTCAACTATCTCGCAGTCGGCACCCGCCCCGATATCTCATTCGCATGCCAATTCCTGAGTCAATTCCTTGACGCATATGGACACGAACACTACGCGGCGGCCAAACGCGTTCTACGATACCTGAAGGGCACTAGGGAACTCAAACTCGTCCTAGGTGGCCCTCACGGATCTTCGCTCGTCGGTTTCACCGATTCGAACTACGCGGCCTGTCTCGACACGCGTTGTTCCGTCACGGGGTACTGCACATCACTTGGCACCGGCGTCGTCACTTGGTCATCAAGGAAGCAGCCGATAGTGACTTCCTCCACGTGCGAGGCGGAGTACGTCGCCGCCAACGCCGCGACGAAGGAAATCATCTGGGTCAGGAACATTCTAGCCGGCCTCGGCCGCACGCAGACCCATCCTACACCTCTATTCTGCGACAACCAGGCCACCATTAAGATATCCGAAGATCCAGCCAACTTCCCGCAAACAAAACACATTGACGTCCGCTACCACTTCATTCGAGAACGGGTCGAAGACGGCACTATACAGCTACGCTACGTGCCTACGTCGGACAACATTGCCGACATCTTCACTAAGGCCCTCGCTCGACCCTCTTTCGTAGCTCTTCGCTACCTCCTAGGTCTTTGCTGATTCTCGGCGTGGGGGGGAACTGGGGTTGAGGAGGAGTTTTTGAGGTTGAGGAGGAGCTGATGCTCGCGGTGAGGAGGAGTGTCGGAATCGGGATTCCAGCGACACCGCTCGATGCGGGTGGCGATGTGGCGATGTGAAGAGGTGACATGTGTGGCGGGATGTGATAGAAGAGAATCAGCTATATAGACGTCCTCAGCCACCGGCCTCTCCCTCATTCGCTTGTACTACGAGCGTAAGAGGGTGAGTGCCGTCCAGACGTCTAACACATAACGCATACTTACCTGTACCTAGTCTGATCATTGTCTAGGTACATCAATATCTATTCGCTTGTACTACGAGCGTAAGAGGTCTGATCATTGTC